ACACTCACTGGCCACTTTATTAGGTACACCTTTCTAGTGCCCTACATCATTACACCACCACCACCGTTGGATAAATGTCAGGATGGAGCCATGCTTTTATTTTGTTTATGCCAAATTCCGACCCTACCTTCTGAAAGTCACAGTAGTAACCAGTCTGCCCATTCTCCTCTGACCTCTGACATCAACAAGGCATTTTCATCCACACAACTGCCGCTCACTGGATAGTTTCTCTTTTTCTGACTCTTCTAAATTCATTGAGTTGCTCCCATGTGATTGGCTGATTAGCAATTTGTGCTACCCAAGCAATTGAACAGGTGTACCTAATAAAGTGGCCGGAGAGTGCATGTTGGAACATATAATAAATTGAAGGTGAAGTCAGACTACAATTTTAAACAGCCTACAAGACACCTTGGCATTACTTCCTTACACCTGGCACATTAGTAGACTAAGACAAGACAAAACTTTCAAGGTTCCATTCATGAACGTTATTCATGCTACACTTAGCACATGGCTCTCCAGTTCCAAGCTGAACTCCAGAAAAGTAAAAATGCTCCCTCACAGTATGGCTGTGCCTTCACTGCTAGGGTTAAATGCTCGTCTGGGGGACTTGGAAAAGCAGTTTTACTTACCTGATTGATCCTCCACTCATGCAAGCTTCTCTGCACTGCTAGACTGGGCCCAACAGCCTCTTCTCCCCTACACTCCAATGGTCTAAGGGGGATTTGGGGACTGAAACAAATATTTAACCCTTGTAGTGCAGGCATAGGCCACTGAAAGGGAGGGCTTTTACTTTTCCTGGAGTTGGGCTTTATTATTCTACACATTAAATTAGATCTGCTGAAACTTTGGCTTCTAGTAAATCAGATTTAGATTTTAAGATTTAATATTGTATGAGTCACTGACTGCTACATATAGGCAAACCAGTAAAGGAAAAAGTCAAAAGTCTTTATCTGCATGCTTTTTTTCAGGTCTGTAACTCAAAATATAGAGGAAAAGGACCAGAGTAACAGCCAATCAACTAGCACTTTCTGGTAGAGGGTCAGCAATGGCAGGCTCAATGGTTTTCTCAAAACAGGTTACCTTGAAGAGAAGAGTTTTGTTTTCACAATCCTTTTACAGTAACTGCTCATTCCTTGTCCCTTCAATTGAAAGTCTTAAAATATCTGGAAATTTTTTTAAATAAGATCTACATTGATTATATTATAACCTTTAGATTTAACCCTGGAGACTTGGAAATTGAATATCTATAAATAAGCAGGATTAAAGAGCCACTAAAGCTCCCTTTCTTAAACAACGTTGTATGTTATTCGAAGACAGGACCACTTAGTGAAGTTACAGTTACATATGTAGAGTCATGTTACATTCCAGGCTGGGGAATTATATATTGGGTTGAATGAATTATACATTCTCTTGAGTCATGCTGGGATTTCTCAAGTCACAAAGGAACATTTGAACTTGCAGTAAAAATTTGTCTTGCTAAATTTTTTTCAAGAACTATCAGATCTCATATCATCGTCTTCACATAGGTTATTAGACAGAGGTCAACGGTTCACAAATCATCCAAATACCAAGTGAACTTTTATTTGACAAACTTTCCAACACTTTTGAGCCATGAGAATTAAACTCTCCTGCTCTTGGGGGAACCACATTTGTATCTTACAAAGGATGTACATTCCACATTTGCAGGTTCATTTTAAAAAACTGAGAGTTTCTTCTACTCTTACTTACGTAAGGGTGTTCTTACTCCTTCTGTTGCATTCTCCACATTATACCAAAAAAAAATCCAAAAGAGAGACTGAAGGGCCACAATGCAGAGATCTCACACCGAGAGTCCTTTGCTAAATACCTCCAGATCAGTCCCCCCCCCTGTCCTTCCACCACATATTATTTTAAAAATACCCAACATATATACCTTATTGTCAGGTGTCTTCTGCCGGGTCCTTTGATGACCCAGGATTAATCCTCTTCTCCTCCAGTGCTGGCATTGGACAGTCCCTGATGGTAAAGATAACAGTAGTCATGTTATGTGATGTCAGTACTTTGCTCTGCGGCATTGTACTATAAGCCCAGACCGACAATAGCATGCCCATTGGGCTTGTGATGGGGTGCTTACCTGGATCTGTCTCCAGGTAAGCTTTCTTTTAATTTATTCACTGCAATATAAATGTCACATAGTTGGGACCTCAACTTGTTTTTGAGTTAAGAACTACATTTTAAAGTATATGTAAACCCTCACCTTTTAAAACAAGCCACTCTGTTTAAAATAGAGATGAAAGGTAAAACATTTGTGTATAGATACAAAAAAATGTATAAATACCCTTCCCTCTTTTTTAAAAGTGATCACATACCCTCTGTTCTCAACTGCATAAGAGTTAGGGAGGAGAAACAGCAGCACACACTGATCTTCACAGGGAATGGCTGGGTGGGGGAGCAAATGTCTGATCATTGGAGGAGAGCACACTGAGTTCCCAGCACAGCACAGCCAGCAAACTGACCACACTGTGCTTTCATACCTTGAGTGGTACGTTTTTAAAGCAGGAAAGCAGAGGGACTAGCAGGAACAAAACAACAGGGATTTCACACAAAGGAAGCAATACAAAGAGAACAGGATAATTTTTCATACAAGACAAGTACATGGTACAGCAGGCACATAACAGGAATATGAAATGTTGATTTTAAATACTCTTTTAAGAGGAACCTCACATGTGTTTGCAAATGTATGCTGTTTAGATTTTTGTACTTATGAGCTGGGATTTTTTTGTACAGCCTGTTCTTATGACTTACTCTCAGGAGGTGTGTCCATGACACCCTGAGCCCACAGGAAGTGGGTTGAATGACACTGGGCATCTTTAACTTGGCAACAAAATAGCACTAGAAGACCCAGAGGGCAGTGCTGGAGCTTGGAAGGGTGAATAGTGCTTTGAAAGATTTCATTTTAGAAACAGCACCCACAAGGCAAGCTCTGAAAAAATAATAAAAGCCCAACTTTTTATGAATGGATTGTAGGTTTGTTTTAATAAAGTGTGAAGTTGGGTGAATTTAGGTTTGTGTTCACTTGCTCAGACATTCAGTCATCCTCCTTCCTGCTCATGATTCAGACCCCCTAACTCGACCCTTTCCAGTAGGTACGGTGTACTCCCAATCAATCTTTTACCTATGTATGATTATCTCCTGAACTTGGTCAGCGAACACATACAGTATATAGGATTAGTATGATCAGAAAGACAGTGAAATGTTCAGAAGCAGAGCACTTTCCAGGTATTGGAGCAGGTCTTGTTGGAAGGTATGGTGAACTGGTGATTAGCTGATTAAAGTGAACATGAGCAGGATGCAGTTTAAACAACCTCATGCTTTAGTAAATTAAGCTGTCCAATTTCTGAATGTAACAAGTATTAGAATTTCAAACAGAGATTTTTCCAAAAATAAGAAAAAGGAATGATTCTTTTCAGCCATTGTGCTCCATAACTGGACATCATCCTATATGGCAGTTAATGTGAGCTGGTCACCTATGGCCATTTGTAATAATTCCACTCTTGTATTGGTATAATAGTGAAGTGTGTCTCAGGGATTACTTGATCTTTAATTATTTGTGTGTATTCTCCCCCTTTCAGAGCAGAGGTGTTGAGCCGAGAACTAGACTGTAAGGCTTTTCTATCTCCTGTATGAGTTTCAGTGGTAATAATGCTCACAATCCCTCTAGGCCTAAATGAGCAGCTACCCCTTGCAGTGCGGATGCAAGGAAGGATTTTCAAGGTTCATGGAGTTCATCTTTAAGGCACCTTTCAGACAAGCTTTTTACTTTTCCATTTATTATACAGTCCTACACAGTAAGAAATGTATCTCCAGTGCCAGGACAGGGCCATCTAATGCCCAAGGTAAAGATGCCAGACAGTTCCCCCCTTCCCCCCCAAAATGTATGAGCATTATGTGTCAGCAAAGATCCCCTCCCTCTCCCCCACAAAAAAAAACTGATCACTAATCTGCATGCTTATCCCTGAAAATTAAAATTACATTTTCAAAATGTTTCCCAAAATTCATCCCTACCCCCATTTCTGCTGAAATCCCCAACCTAGCACAAATCTTTGCCATCACTGTCCCTCTCCCAGCACATTTCTTCTACCCTGCCCAAAGTTCCCCTCTGAGCATAAAGTTCCCCCTCCAAATCTCTCATCCTAGCACAAATCCTTACCCCCAGCACCCCCCTCCTTACACAAATCTCTCTCCTAGTCCAAATCCCCCCTCTTAGCACAAATCCCCCTCCTAGCACAAATCACCCTAAATCTCTCCCCCTCCTAACACAAATCCTCCCCCAAAAAAATGTTGCTTCCTAAAATGAATTGTACGCCACTGCCGCCCCTGAATTTCCTCCTCCCAGCACAAATCCTCTCCCCCCCAATCCTCCCTCCTAGCCCACATCCCCCCAAACCCCCTCCTTGCACTAATCCTCTCTTCTCCCTCACCCTTCTATCACAAATACACTCATCTCCAGCACAAATGTTTGTTATTCTTAAGCTGCTGTCACTTCTCCTTCCAGCTTGTAGGTAGGATCCCCCTCCCAGCCCCCCCCCCTCCAACCTCACATGATACTGTTGCACCAAGGGCAACCGCCCCTCCTGCCCACCCCTTGTCACCGCCCTGTGTAGCTCTATGGGTGGCCGAATATAAACAGATGTGCATTCATTTACATCTGCCCACAACCAAGTCCGTTTAGGCCCACAAAAACAAACAGAAAATGTTTGTGTCCTTTTTAGTTTTTGCAGACCAAAATAGGATAGATTGGATGAACTCTAATGTGAACAGACACAAATCAGTCCACATCTGTCTGCCCGAAGAGATTGCATGGGTCAGTTTTTCCTTGATCACAAGATGGAAGAAAAATTGTAAGGGACTCAGATGTTAGAAAAGTGCATCCATCCCATTCTGATCTGACCTTGCAAGGGATCTGTTTACAGATACCCTGCTGATGCATAGTTAAAGTGTTACTGAACCCAGGACTCTGTATTCACTACATCTGGTCTCTCACAGTACACAGAACATGGAATTATTTTATTAAATATAAACTGCTAAATAACTTTTCTCATCAGCAGATAGAGCAGTCTTGTGACTTTAGCAGAGCACTGGTTAAAGCTTGTAGGAGGAGTTCTCTTTCTGCTCTAGGAGGATGCAAAACCCCTGACCTCTGTCTGGACAGTGCTGATTGGCCCTGTGCTTATCACATGCACTCTCCCAAGAGAAAAAAACTTCTCTAGCAATGCACACTAACCTGAACATGTGGATGTGACTCAGGGTTCAGTCTGTCTTATCAGCTGGACATTTGAACAAGAGGAGGAGCAGAGAAGACAAGATCAACCAGCCTTTTTACACAATGTAGAGGATTAACCCCTTAGGTTCCACAGTGAGTATAACAAGCATGCTGTCAGGAATGGACTCAGCACTGGTGGTGGGACGCACCTGCCATGTGGGCTGCAGTACCAGAGCTGACCAGCGGGTGCTCTCAGCGATGGACTCAGCACTGGTGGTGGGACTCACCTGCCGTGTGGGCTGCAGTACCAGAGCTGACCAGCGGGTGCTCTTAGCAGCCAGAAGCTCACAATCAGCCAAACCTAGGGCTGATTGCAGAAAGGTGTATTAAGCCATGACCAGGCCTGTGCTCTGGGCCTTGGTGTATGTTTTCCCATGAGCCTCTGTACCTGGTATCCTGTGTTCCTGCTTCGTTGCTGACCCGGCTTGATTCTGACCTCTGCTGACCGTCTCCTGTTGAACCCCTGGCTTGCCTGACCATCCTTCTGCCTGATCCCCTGTACTGCGCTGTCCGTGAGTTACTGAACCCAGCTTGTGACCTTGACCATTCTCTGCCTGCTCCTTTTGGTACCTTGCTGCCCGCACGTTGCTGACTTGGCCCGTCTGACCATGCTTACTACTCTGCCATCCATCCATCCTGCACGGATCCAGCCGTACCTGCACATACCTCTGGCGGATCCCTCTACCACTAGCAGATGTACTCAGGGGCCGCGACCTGGTTCCTGTCTGCTCCAAGTCCATCCCCACCATCAGGGGCCCTGGTGAATAAGCAGACTGGGACTTAGACTCCGCGCCCTGGGGAATCCTGTCCTGGGGACCACTAGAGGTACCACCAAACGGTCATTACAGAACCCTACGGCCGGCCTGATCGTTCCACCTCTCCAGCCCTGACTACGCCTGTGTTCCTGCACCTACTAAGATTAGTGGAAGGTTGGTTTGTTCACTGTTATATATATATATATATATATATATATATATATATATATATATATATATATATGGGTGGCTAATAATAAACTGTATTATACTGTACCTGAGACCTGCGTTTCCCTGTGTCAGTCCACACCTTTCTGGTCATTCCTAGATTCCTGACACATGCTTTACTGCATATACAGACTGATTTTACTGTTGTGGGTTTAGAAACACTTTAGAGTCCATTTCAATGGCCATTCTTAAAGTAGAACTATGGCCTCCAATTTAAAAAAATATATATGTGCTGCAACACATTATTATAAGTACATCTGTACTTACAGTTTTCTCTTCTGCAAAGCCTCCCAAATACCTGTTGATCCTGCCATTGAAGTCCACCTAATACAACTTCCTGTGACGGTGTGGCAAGGATGCTGCACTGCTCTTGATCCTCCCACTTTTACAGTATGTAGGCTGTACCGGCTTGCACCATAGTGAAATGAAAACTTGTTGCTGGGGGCGTCGCTATCAGCCCATAGCGTGTTTATCAGCACCTGACCACGCCTAGTCCTGCCCACTGATTCTTGGCTTGACAGCCTGTTGCTTAAGCCCTCTCACTGTGAGCTGCACTGTATGCAAAGGGATATGAGAGAAACAAATTAAGGATTTGGCCCCATCCGTGAAGGGGCCAAACTGAGTTTTTTAATTAGTTTATGAGGCTTGGGAGTCACATAATAACTAAATTTGGGATTTGTTTAGTCTGTCATATAGACATACAGGAGCCCTTTAGTTTTACTTTAACACTCCGCTTGGAGACAGCATTAGTGGCAGAGTCACTGGAAACTATTTAAAATCTATTTTGAAAAGTTGGCAGGCTATTGCATTCTGTTTTTACTGCTGTTCCGAACTTGTCTGTATGTAGATGTCAGCTGACCCACAGCCTTGATCTTAAAGCATATGCAGCCCAAGCAATAACTATAATTAGTAGTAACAGAATAAAGGCCATTCCCAGCTTTTCTTACACTGGATCTACTGAGAGAGAGGGGACTACCGCCACAGACCCTGCTGAGAAGGTGACTCAGAGAGCAGTGATGCACCATCCGCTTCCAAACTGTATTCAGGAGCAGAGTGACATTGGCCCGGTCTGTCATTCTGGGGACTCTGCCAGGACGATGTTGTCAGGCTTTCAAAGCCAAAATACATGGGAATGGAGCTAAATGTAGGCAATAAATAGAACAAAATCTGTTGTACAAATGTGCTCATTGTTTATGTCGCAGAATGAAAAATAATATAAAAATGTACATCTACTGTGTGAAATATATATATATATATATATATATATATAATAGAGCGCCACCCCCGCAGGGGTCGCTTGACATCTGATAATGCTTGTCCCCAGTGGTTGCCCTGACCTTACAAGCCTCTGACACTCTGGGTTCAGACATATTTCAACAGTATAGAATAACAATACAAGAAACACAATTCTTTAGTAGCACCTCTATATTAAACTTGGTCAAAAGTGTAGGCCACAGAAATAATAGGTTTAGGATATACAACTGCAGTTAACAAATAAAAGCAGAACACTGGTAAAATAGGAATAATCAGTTAGCAAGGTTTAACAGAATATACAGTCATGAGTAGTAAGCTTCAACCATTTATTTGTAACACCAGCAGCAAGAGGGGGAAGAAAAGGCTTGCAATGGGGAATGCTGAGAATTATGTAAACATATACTCTGCTGTAAATAGATGTAAATACCCTAGTTTGAATAGCAATGACCTTAAAAGAGAAGAGGCCCCTTTAACTAGAGATTGCAACTTTAGTCCTTTGATGTTTAAAGTTCCTGATATGAGGGTATCTGTTGTCATCTGCTAGCAATGCTGGGGGCCCATAAACATTAGTGCATATTGGTAATTCAATTAAATTAAACAGATAGGCTGTGGTACTGTTCAAATAAAAAATCTCCTGGTACTGAGGTTTAAAGGTGTTTGCATGCAGTGTCTCTAGAGTGATGACAGAAAGAGGTTGGGCATCCAACCATTCACCAATCCTAAGGACAGCACAGCCTTCTATGAACAGAGTTTTTGCCCAGGCTTTTGGCTGGTTGCAGGGATGTGTGGAGTTACCTCCGGATGGCCTGTCAGCGCAGCAAGCAGAGATGTCTGTGTGAAGACCTGACAATGACAGTCCCGATGCAGAGACACTAGTGTGATTCTGGTGTGGCAGTCGGTATCACTGCTGTTCTCATATACCTTGGTTGGTGGCCGAACTGACAAGAGGGCTTCCCTTGTGGCTCTGCTCCGAGAACCCCTGAAAGTGGTGAAAGAGGTACAAGGCTCAAAGAAGCATGGGTGCTAGTAGCTTGGTAGCAGGTAACTGCCAGGATCAGAGACATAGTCAGGATGAGCCAGTGTCATGTACAATGAGGCAGAAGCATGGTCAGATAGTAGGCTGGGGTCACTACCAAAGAAGCAGGCACAGCAAGGTCCAGTAACAGGTCGAGGTCAGAACCAGGGAACCAGGCAGAGAATAGTCAGAGGAAAGCCAAGGTCGGTACCCAAATCCACAGAGCAAGATCAGGAACTAGCCGGGTCAGCAACGGGAGATCAGTCAGCATAAGTAGGAACACAGCTCATGGGGGAACTGAAAAACATCCAGTGATTAGCACATACCAGGGTCTCCTTTAAAAAGGGAGCTTGGCGACAATGCCCGTGGACGTGCGCGCGCTGATGTGCGGCAGTGCACAGAGATGCGCCTACGTGTCAGTGCATGCAGAACATTAGCCCAAGCTCGTTTTTGTGCTGATACATGTGCAAGAGCATTAGCTGCACAGGAATGAACATTAGCTGCAAAAGAATTAGCATTAGCTGTAGTATTCCCATTAACACTAGCTGATCTAATATTAATCCTCTGACAGCTGTGCTAAACTGAGGAGAGTCCAAGAGAAAGAGCCAGTCCCTTGCTATAGCATATATCTGCTTTCCCAGCATCCTCCTCATTTGCCAGCACTTTGGTAGTTGCAGTTCAACCAGCGCTCAGGAATACAGGATGTATTGGCTATAGGACTACAAGTTTCAAAATCCTCTGCTATCAGAAAATTGAATCAAAGTCTTTACCAAATAACTGTAGACCTGTTAGTTAGTTTACCGTCTATAGTTGGGAAGATACTGCAGAGTTTAATTAAAAACCACAGTTCTTGCTGGAAAAAAAATATTTTAAGCAACAGACAGCATCTATTCATGAAAGAGAGACGTTGTCAAACAAATCTGATTTCTTTTTATGAGGAGGTGAGCAAAACCTTAGACAAAAGCGTTTGACACAGTTCCCCACACACTGCTAATGTGTAAGGTAAAGTCTACAGGCTTGGAAAAATTTAGTACCGTATTTTCCGGCGTATAAGACGACTTTTCAACCCCTCAAAATCTTCTGAAAAAGTCGGGGGTCGTCTTATACGCCGGTGCAAGCCGATGCCAGGGCGGCACTTTTTCGAGGGGCGGCGCGGCGCCGCCCCCCCTCCTCCTCCAACAGACACCAAGTACAGGGGTGGGCAGAGGGGCTGCTGTACCTTACCTGGCTCCGGTCCCATGACGATCCGGTCCAGGAAGCGCGGCTGCTCCTTCTTTCAGTTCGGCCGCTCGATGGTCACGCGGGCCGCTCGGCTCCGCCTCCTCACCGGTGATTGGGCGCCAGCACTGGAAAGGCGCACAGGCGACCAATCACCGGCGAGGAGGCGGAGCCGAGCGGCCCCGCGAAAAAAATGATGGGGCACTATTCCTCCTCCCCACTGACACCAATGATGGGGCACTATTCTCCCCACTGACACCAATGATGGGGCACTATTCCTCCTCCTCCCCACTGACACCAATGATGGGTCACTATTCTCCCCACTGACACCAATGATGGGGCGCAATTCCTCCCACTGACACCAATGATGGGGCGCAATTCCTGCCACTGATACCAATGATGGGGCGCTATTCCTCCCACTGACACCAATGATGGGGCGCTATTCCTACCACTGACACCAATGATGGGGTGCTATTCCTCCCACTGATACCAATGATGGCCGCTATTCCTCCCACTGACACCAATGATGAGGCACTACTCCTCCCACTGACACCAATGATGGGGCACTATTCCTCCCACTGACTAATGATGGGGCACTATTCCTCACACACTGACACTAATGATGGGGCACCATCATTGGTGTCAGTGGATGAAATAGTGCCCCGTCATTGGTGTCAGTGGATGAAATAGTGCCCCATCATTGGTGTCAGTGGGAGGAGTAGTGCCTCATCATTGGTGTCAGTGGGAGGAATAGCACCCCATCATTGGAATACCATACTGAAATAGCATACCATATTGAAATCAAATCTGATGTTTTTTTATTTTTATTTGGTGTGCGTTGGAAGAGGGGTAGTCTTATACGGCGAGTATAGCTCAAACCCTATATTTTAACAGGAAAAGTAGGGGGTCGTCTTATACGCCCAGTCGTCTTATACGCCGGAAAATACGGTATGTAAATGGATAGAAAACTGGCTAAAAGACCACATTCAGAGAGTAGTGGTTAAAGATTCATACTCTGAATGGTCTAGGGTTCTCAGTGGTGTACCCCAAGGTTCAGTGTTGGGACCCTTACTTTTTAATACATTTATACATGATATAGGGTCTGGGATTAAAAGTACCATTTCAGTCTTGGCAGATGACACCAAGCTATGCAGTGGAATAATGTCCTTACAGGATGTTTCCAACTTACAAGCCGACCTCAATGAACTGTTTAATTGGGTAACTATGTGGCAAATGAGGTTTAATGTTGATAAATGTAAGGTTATGCACTTGGGGGCTAAGAATATGCATGCATCATACATACTAGGGGGGGTACAACTAGGGGAATCAATGGTAGAGAAGGATCTGGGAGTTCTGGTAGATCACAAGCCTAATAATGGCATGCAATGCCAAGCTGCGGTTTCTAAAGCGTGCAAAATCCTTTCTTGTATTAAAAGAGATATAGACTCCAGAGAGAGAGAGAGATATCATTTTACCCCGGTACAAATCATTAGTAAGACCTCATCTAGAATATGCAGTTCAGTTTTGGGCACCAATTCGCAAAAAGAACATCGGGGAACTGGAGAAAGTACAGAGAAGGGCAACCAAACTGATAAGAGGCATGGAGGAGCTCAGCTATGAGGAAAGATTAGAGGAACTGAATGTATTCCCTCTTGAGAAGAGGAGATTAAGGAGGGA